TAGTGATCACTGACTATTTGAATTCAATAAGTTATTTTCTGAAGTTTTAATTGTCTTAACATTACTTAAAATTTTGGGGTTTTGAGAGGACTTTATAGATTAAAATTCCTCCACTACTTGTATGTTTCAAGTTAATTGTATTTTGCACATTCTCTGAGCTGCCATAACATGACAAGTCATAGGATAATTTCTGAATATTAAATGTAGCTTCACAGAAAATAAAACTTCAGGGTCTGGGAAAGAACAAAACATCTTAGCTTATCTTTCAGAGAGGTTTTTAAGGATATCATGGCCATTCCCTTCTGTAAGGAGGTTACAAGAGTCTCACAGTTGGAAAAAGAAAACAAAAAAAAAAAGAGGAAGAAAATAATACTTTGCTATTCCAGTCAGTTTTCTTTATCGTTGTTATCGGGAGAAAATTATACTTGAAGTAACCGGACGATTTATTTTAATGCTTAATTTCTGGTACTTTTGGACAAAGTTTTTTTAATGTGAAGCATAATTAAATCAAGTGTGCTAGGGTAAGGGCTGTACTGCCAGGCTTGGCTGGAGGGAGAGCTGAGATGGCCACTGGATGGGAGCTGGCTTGAAATACCTTCTTCAGGACAACTAGTGACCCACACCCCATGTGTGACACACCCTACAGGTGCAGCTAAAGGGAGCTAAGCTGTTAGTCACCAAAGCTCTCATCCCCACTTCCCAGTGAAACTACGGTCAGTCAGTAGTCAGAGAATGATGAAATAATATATGTAACTTTAATGTTTGAGAGAATGGTCATCCTTGTTTGCAGAGCACATAATTTATTCAAATCTACACATGCATACACATATAAATATATACAGAATATGCATACACATGCATGTACATATATATACTTGCTTTACATAGCAATGTACTAGTACATGTTTCTTGTAATTCTTTTTCTGACAACTATTGCTCCTCCTAGATCTTTGTAACAACATCACACTTATCTAGTAGATAGTTGCAGCAGAGAAGCCTATTTCTAGCAGGAAAGTTGCCACGTTACAAAGCAAGTGCAGTTTTCTAAAGCTTTAAACACTCTCAGGATCTTGTGATTTGTATTGGCCCCCTTTAGCCTTAGAGTAATCCTCAGCATATATGAAATCTGCACAAATTCTGCGAAAAATAAAATATTCACAATGAAGGATAATAAATTACATCGCATGCTACTTTTTTAAAAAATATATTTTATTGATTTTTTACAGAGAGGAAGGGAGAGAGATAGAGAGTCAGAAACATCGATGAGAGAGAAACATCGATCAGCTGCCTCCTGCACATCTCCTACTGGGGATGTGCCCGCAACCCAGGTACATGCCCTTGACCGGAATCGAACCCGGGACCCTTCAGTCCGCAGGCCTATGCTCTATCCACTGAGCCAAACCGGTTTCGGCAATCGCATGCTACTTTTAACTTTATTTCGTGAAATAATTCTTAGATGATTTCAGCCAGTTTGTTGAGATTTGGTAAAATCAGAGACTGGATTTGAAAGGGATTCCAAACAGTTACAATGGCACGCCCTCTGGTGTTTCTTTGTAGTATTGCCACTAAGAAGACAAACGAGTAGTTTTGAAGGAAAAGAGGGAATAAAGGGTTTATGGATTTTTTAATTTATTTTTTTGCTTAAACTAAGTAAATTTTAACAATAATTGAGGCACTTCTAAGGGAATACCTCATGAGTTATTATTGAGAACCCACTAAAGGAACCTCTTCATTCTGACCTCACTCCTTAGGCTTTGTAGAGTTTATGTGACTTGTTTTTCCTCAGCCTATAGCCAGTTATTCGCCCCTCAAAACTTTGACCCTATATCTTTTGGCCTCTGAGAGCAGTAACTCTAAGCAGTTAGTCAGTGAACAAATAGTTATTTAGTTCCAAGTGTCAGGTAACTGTGTTAATTGCTAAAAACAAAAAGATGAAGGAGATACTTTAATTTTTTTTATTTGTTCTTCAATCTTTTCTGACTATCCAGGTTTTGCTGATTGTTTACTGAAACTCAGTTTTCACCAGCAATGCCAACTTGCAGGTAAACAGATTAGCTTCCTCCTGCTCTTTGGGAATTCTGTCCACCCTTAAATTCTTCCCCCAGATTTTTTTGGAATCCTAAAAGTTGTATCATATGTGCTTGAGAATTAATTATTCTCTTATACTCATAGATTAGCCAACCTTTCTCAGCAGAAATTGAATCCTGGAAGGATGCAGCATTCATTTATATGGGGATCAAAAACTGGAAAAGAAGGCTGGAAAAGTCTGGATCTTGGGCACTGTTGTTTGGGGGGAATGATCGTGTGGGACGTAGGGAGCAAAGAGGCATGACAACACTGGGCACTTGCAATAGGAATGAGAACATATAAATGTAGGAGAGATGCAAAGGAAAAGGTGCAATAAGGCCAAAGGTGAGCTCTGTGCACATTATATTCCATCTAGAGGTGGATCTAGACATAGAAGGTGGTGCTACTTCCACAAGGAAGCGTCTCCCCTGACCCTTCCCAAAGGATGAGAGGCCAGGGAGGTTGACCAGCAGTATCCCCAGGCGAGGGTATGGTTGGAATCTGTGATTCTAGAAGTAATTACCAGAGATAAAACCCTGGGGGGCTGGGTGGTGGTGGTTAGCTAGTATTCAAGAGAAATGTCTAGGACTGGTTTATAAAATTCAAATAGAAGAAAGAAAAAAGGGGTTGAAATCTGAAACAAAGCAGGTCAGGTGCTGAAAGAGAAGCTGCTGAGAAATGTCTGAGAAACTATAGAAGAATCTGTGGGTCCAGGGTTCCACATCCCTTGTGTTTCATGTCATTTTTCTTTTGTCTCCTTTGGAATCCTTATGGCGTATGCTGCAATATAAAGGACAGACATGCTGCAGAGAGAAATCATGTCCCCAGAAATTCCCAGAACTTTGGGTTGAATGAAGAAGTCAAGTCTTTTGAAAATTAGTTTGTTTTATTCCACCTACATGTCCTCTTCCTCTTTGTTGATAAGCAGTACCTGTACAATTTCAGAATTCTGGATTTATGATTTCAAAAGTTTAAGATGAAGTGGGTCACAATGCATTCTCATGTGCTCTGAAACAATATCTTTTCCTATCTCTACTGTAGCACTTAGCTGTTGGAGCTTTCCCATTTGTAATAGAGTCCCTTAAAAGCAAAGGCTATGCTGATTCATTTTGTATTCTTAGCACCTAGCACAGGATGTCCTTGTTTAAAAAGGTGACAAATATTTTGCTGAGGAAATGAATAAGTAAGTTATAGAGGCACATTCTAATGAACGGCGTGTGGGTAAACTGAGGCCAGGTCAACCATTTACATTTGGGTAACCACATGCCCGGCCTTTAGATTCTGTTTGATGTGGGCTGTCTGTCAGGAGCTTGAACAAATAAAAAAATAAAAACCAAGTAAGCATAATAAAATGTTCCATACTGTTGAGTTTAGCATATAAAATAGAATTCAAAAGAGGCCCCCTGGCATCTCATAAAATTTAAAACAGACTATGAATCTATTTTCTCTTTAAATCTCAAGTATAAACATATTTTGAGGAGGATGTAGGTTTGGGGGTCAGCCAAATCAGAATATGACCAATTTCTGATGGTTGGTTACCTAGGTTATTAATAAGGCGAGTGAAATTGAGAATAATAGATCCTACTTGATGTCTTTTTAAGAGACCTATATTTCTCCTCTTTATTTCAAAAAGTCATAATTGCTCTGAAATTTGTCATTCTCAGGATACCTTTCTGATTGGGCACAAGTATAAATTGTAATCTAGTAAAACTCATATTTTAAAAAAAGAAACCCGTGGTTGTTGTTTTTTCTTCTCTTTTTCCTCCAGGATAACTGTTCTCATTGCTTGTCTGAGTGATGACCTCTGACCTGGTAAACTTGTTGACACTGCTGACCCGATGGCTAAGGTTATTTGAAAAGAACCAATGACAGTTTTTTAAATGGGCAATGTTTTACCTCCAAAAATTATAAACCATTTGTTTTTTTGTGATTTCTTATTAAATTGGTTTCTTTCTTGAAAAAATTTGTAAACCTGGGCTTCTGGGACTAAATATTTTACCTGAGGAATAAAATAGATTCTCATTTCATCATCTCTAATTTTGGGGGGAAATGAGAAACCACTCAAAATTGCTTCTTTTATTGCTATTTTGAAATGCTTGACACTGGATAATCACTGTACACAAACTATAGGAGCACCATGTACTCTCTCGGAATAGAAGGCATGGAGTTCAACATAATATATTAGGAATAGAAGACATGAACTTCAACATAATAAAGACTGTATATAAAAAGACCAGAGCTAACATCAAATGCAATGGTGAAAGACTAAAAGCTTTTTATCTAAGTTCAAGAACAAGAAGAGGATGCCCAGTCTCCATTCAAAATAGTAATGTAAATCCCAGCCATGGAAAGTAGGCAAGAAAAAGAAATAAAAGGTATCCAAATTGGAAAGGGGGAAGTAAAATCATCTCTTTTTGCAGATGACATGATCTTATTTGTAGAAAACCTTAAAGATTTCACATCATAAAAATCTGGTTAAAAACTAATAAGCAAATTCAGATAAGTTGTAGGATACTAACCTAACAAAGGAGGTGAAAGATTGTACATTGAGGATTATAAAACATTGCTGAAAGAAAATTTAAAAGACATCAAAGAGTAGAAACATATATCATATTAATGGATTGGAAGACTTATTATTATTAAGATGTCAATACTACCCAAAGTAATACATAGATTTAATGTAGTCCCTATCAAAATCCCAATGGTATTTTTTTTCAGAAATAAAATTCATATGACATCTCAAGTGATTTTTTACAAGAGAGCCAAGTCCATTCAATAGAAAAGTGACAGTCTCTTTGACAAATGGTGTTGGGGAAATTGGATATCCACATATGAAAGGAAGAAATTGGACCCTGTGTAGGCTAAAAAAAATTGATTTTTCCTTCCACCTTCTAAATTCTAGTTGGGCTAGTAATCAAATGAACAGAGGCAGGTTGACAGAAGAAAATAAAATTTTAATACATGTGCATAGGGAATTCACAAAGGCATGAAAATTCCAAAGATAGTGAGGCAACGTTGTATATATGATATTTTTGGACAATGGAGAAAGGGTGAGGTGACAGAGTATTAGATTTCAGAAGTGAGAATGGGCAATTTACAGGTAGATGAGGAAGAGCAGAACATATATGACAAGAACATTCTTGCTAAGCAACTCGGAAACAATGGGATAGAAGAGGTTTCTAACTAACAGACCCCAGCATGAAGCCTTCTTATTTACCATATATAATTCAAATTAGGCTATTCAGGCTAAGACGAAAATTGTAGTTATCCTTCCTGAATAGTTTTTTTTTTTTTCTTTTTGTCTGAACCTCTTGGGCTGGAAAAGCAGGAGAGTCAAGCATTCTTCCTGATCAATATCCCAAAAAGGCAGCTTCAGAGTGGCAAAACTTTGGTTCCCTCCAACTCTTATCTTACACTTTGTACAAAAAATAAATTGCAATGGATTAAAGACTTAAATGATAAAACTCTTAGAAAAAAACATAGGGGAAAGCTTCATGATATTGGATCTGGCAGTGATTTCTTGGATACGACACCAAAAGCACAAACAACAAAAATACAAATGAGATTATATCAGACTTTAATACTTTCTGCATCGAAGAACACAACCAACAGAGTCAAAAGGCAACCTATGAAATGGGAGAAAATATTTGTAAATCATGTCCTGATATAGGTTCATATCCAGATTGTATAAAGAACTACAACTCAACAACAAAAATCAAATACAGTCATATGCCACTTAACAACAAGACAAGGTTACATTCTGAGAAATGCATTGTTAGGGGACTTCTCCTTGTGTGAACATCATAGAATGCACTTATACACCCAGATGGTATAGCCCACTACTATAATTGTGTGTGCTATATTTTTATAGGACTGGCAGCACAGATTTACACCAGCATCATCACAAACATATGAGTCATTGTACTATAAATCCTGACAGTGGCTTTTCTTTTTGTAATGCAAGTGCCTGACTTAAGCTTGCTTGTTTAGGCATTGATTTCAAAGAGGCATCCACTTCATGGAAGGCAATAAATACATTGCCAAGCACAGACTAGATAAAGAGCCAGGCCACTTGCTGTGGAAATAAGGCTGTTTCACGGAGTCAAGAGAAAAGCATTTCAGGGACCCACACATAGGAGAATGTGTAACCATAAGATTTGTTGGAGTAGAAACCAAGGACTGTCCCCAGGTGCCCAGTGTCTCATCCACGACCAGGTGGCTTAGTTCCATCTTGCTGTGGAATAAGTCCTGGGCCTGGTGAGCATACGTGCCCACAGGGAGGGTCAGGATCCAGAACTGTAATGCCATCATCCTGGGCTCCTGTAGTCCAGCATGGTCTCTGCTCTTGGCTGCACTCAGGCTGGCGCTGCACTGCCTCACCCAGGTCCACACTTAGCCCGCTCTTGGGACCACACTTGCGAAAGGACTTGTAGAGACAAAGTAGGCAGGTTTAGGGAATAAAGAGGGTCCTTGGGGGAGGAATGCATATGTGAAGGACAGAGGTATCTCTGGCCTGAGCGATTATAAGGTAGATCAAAAGCAACCCTGACCTGAGCAGCTTGGAGATGCCAAAATGCTTATCTTACTTGTACAGAGGATAGAAAAAGGCCACAGGATAAGGGGGGAGACATACATTCATAGAGGACAAAGAAAAGTCACAGGATAATGGAAAGAAGGAAACATATTTTCACAGAGAATAGAGGAATGTTACAAGATGGGGGGTGGGGGTGGGGAAGGAGACAGGGGCACCACGTGGGCCTTTGAAACAGATACTATGTAACAAAATAACCAATGAGGAAAGCAGGGGGGTCCTAAATTGATGAAAGGTCCAATTAGAAAGGGTCAGGTTCAAACAAAGAACTGTAGCATATATAGACCTGAGACAAAGGGACACGAGGCAGGATATTTTTATTGAGAGAGAGAGAGAAAGAGAGAGAGAGAAGGCTTTTCCCACTTGGGGGTCCCCCCCAGCGGATCCCCTTTGGAGACACCCTTGCCCAGATGGAGTTTGTATATGCTTCCAATAAACTTCCCCTTTTTTATTAAAGAAATCTGTTAGTCCATGAACTTATTCTTCATCTTTGTTGGACAAGAACCTACGAGAAGAAGTCTGTACCCCGAACCTCACGTTTTACTTGGAGAAGTGCTTGGAGCTGTGCAGCTGCTACAGAGAAAGAATGCCTGCAAACGAATGGGCAAATGCTTGCTACCCAGAAGGGCCTTTGGTAAGCTTTAATTAGAGTATTTTAGGTTTGGGAGAGAGAGGCTTTCTTTCAAACTAACCAGCTATTTCCTAATCCTCTACCGGCTTGTGCGGGGTCCTACCCTATCCAATGCGGACTCCCCCCAGGTTTTCCAGGTTAGACTCCGCCACTTTATGTGGCCATTTTGGTTCCCTCTGTACATGACTCAAAGTTCTGCTTTATCGTCTGGTTTCTTACTGCACATGCGCTTACCGCCCCCTGTGCCATCTTTGTTTCTACTTCACAAGCGCCTAGAAAAGAAATTTTCCCCACTGTTGTCTTCCTCCCCCTGATAATCTTGCTACCAGGCAGGTGGTCCCCAGTGGCGATTCTTCCTCTCTGCTTGGGGGTTGCTCAGGGATTAAGACCCTGCGATGGAGGATGTGGCATTCCTCTGGGAAGCCTGGGATGCTATAACTTTCTAGCAAATCAGGCCCGATGTCTGATTCAGCTCTCTAGTTCATTAGGCTTAATGTTTGATTCCATTTGCTCCCTTCCTTTATTAATAACTGGCTAGCTACCTGCACTAACACCCCCACTGAGGCTTCTTTGTTTTGGAGATCTTGATTTTAATAACTGAACACTTGTTTTTTCCCCTTCCTACACTTTAAATTCCCACTCTTATGTTTTAAATTTAGCAATAAGGAAACCACAGGTCCCATGCTCCATCCCAATAAAAGCAAGACCCCAGGCCCCTTCTCTATCCCCCTCCCTCCCCTGCACTCAATCTCGCTGTGTGGCCCCTGGCATGCATTGTGTGATCCAGGGCTTATAAGCAATAAACTTTGTTTTTTCCCAAAGCTCCTTAATGGTTATTGCTCAAGGGAGCCTTGAAATCATAAATAAGGAGAACCACAGGGGTTGGTCCAGTCATAACACTGACTTAGAAAGGGGAGATGTCTGAGGGCCAGGTGAGTTGCCTCTAGGCATTTCTAACCAACAGCATTACTATCCACAGGCTGAAACAGGGGCAAAACAGTCATGTGCACTAGACTTTATGCAGGCTATGGTGTCACTAGGTGATAGAAATTTCTCACCTCCATTATAATCTTATGGGACCATGTTATTATACAGCCCATCATTTAGAAGAACGTTGTTGTGTGGCACATGACTGTAACCCAATTTAAAAATGGGAAAGCACTTGAATAAACATTTCTCCAGAGATACAAATATACAAATGGCCAACAAGCAGATGAAAAGATGCTCATCATCACTTTATCATTTGAGGAATACAAGCCAAAACCACAATGAGTTGTCTAAGCAGGCCCATTAGCATGGCTATTATCAAATAAACAATAAAATAACAATTGGCAAATAAAAAAAAAGTGTTGATGGGGCCTGGCCAGTGTGGCTAAGTTGTTGAACCAGGAGATGATGATTTGATTCCTGGTGGGGGAACATGCTCAGGTTTCGGGTTTGATCTCCAGTAGGGGGAATGCAGGAGGTGTGCAGGAGGCAGCTGATCAACAATTGTTTCATCAAGTGATGTTTTTCTCTCTCTCCTTTCCTCTCTGAAATCAATAAAAATATGTATTTTTAAAAAAGTATTGATGGAGCCGAAACCGGTTTGGCTCAGTGGATAGAGCGTCGGCCTGCGGACTGAAGGGTCCCAGGTTCGATTCCGGTCAAGGGCATGTACCTGGGTTGCGGGCATATCCCCAGTGGGGGATGTGCAGGAGGCAGCTGATCGATGTTTCTCTCTCATCGATGTTTCTAACTCTCTATCTCTCTCCCTTCCTCTCTGTAAAAAATCAATAAAATATATTTTTTTAAAAAAATGTATTGATGGAGATGTGGAGAAATAGTAATCCTTGTAGATTGTTAGTGGGAATGCAAAATGGTGCAGCCATTATGGAAAAAGAGAATGGAGGTTCCTCAAAAAGTTAAAAATAGAATCACCCTATGATCCAGCCAATCCTACTTTTAGGCATATTTCCAAAAGAATTCAAAGCAGAGTCTTGAAGAGGCACTTGCACATCCAGCAGCATTATTCACAATAGCAAGCAATCCACCCATCATCCAACGAATAGATAAAGACAATGTGGCTTCTACATACAATGGACTATCGTGCAGCCTTACAAAGGGAAATTTGTCGCATGCTACAACATGGATGAACCTCAAAGACATTATGCTAAATGAAAAAAAGAATCCTGGAACATAAGGACAAATCGTGTTTGATTTCACTCACATGAAATATCTGAAATAGTCAAAACCATAGAAATAGAAAGCAGAAAGAAAAGCAGTTACCAAGGGTTAGAGGGAAGGAGGATGTAGAATTGGTGTTTAATGGGTTAGTTTCAGATTTACAAGATGAGCAAGCTCTAAAGATCTGTTGCACAACAATGTGAATATACTTAACATTACTGAACCATACACTAAAAAATGATTAAGTTGGTAAATTTCATGGTATGTGGTGGCTTTTTATTTTTACCATGGGAAAAAAAAAAAAGGTGGTTGAAGCACATTCCTTCTCTTCTCATTAGTCTCCAAAGTTCAAAAGCACAGCCTAGCACAGTGAGTTATTTAATCAATGAAGTCTCCAGTTTTACTGAAAACATTGGTGATGACAAAAATGATAGCACTTAATACCACCAAAACTTCACACTTCTGGCCATCTGCTTTTCAGAGTAAGTGAATCTTGAAGACAAATTAACATGTGGCATATGAAAGAAAGGCAGAGAAATTGGGACTCTGCCCAGACCTTCAAAGACTAGCACTATCCACTCCATTTGAAAGCAGTTTTCTTACATACGGGCAGGTCCATCACATTCCAGGCCAAGCTATTTCTTTATATAAACAGTCTCCTGGAGTCCGATTCACCCCATGTTCCTCTGGTATAATCATTCAGCCTCAAGCACAGCAACCTGCATGCTTCTTTGACTACCTCGGATCACACTGCTTTCAGATTTGGCTTTCATGCCCACCTCATTCTTCCTCTGTGAGGTATAGAGTAGATTAGAAAAAGCAATAAAATGTAAATCTTTTTGGAACCACAGAAGTTGAGTACTTTTGTCAAGAAGCCTTTCGGCCAGGAACCAAAGACATCCTTGTCATTTTAACATAGAACAAGGCTGCACCAGTAGCGGCAGCAGGACCTGGGAACTTGTTAAAAATGCAAATTATTCAGCCCCACCCCCAGACCTAAGGAATCAGAAGCCCAGAAGGGGCCCAGGGATGTGTATTTCCACAACTCTCCAGGTGATTCTGTGGCCAGATGAAATTTGGGAGCCACTGATCTACATCCTTTACCCCTAGGGGACAAAGTCCAAACAGATCCTATTTTAAAAGTAGATGTGGAGAGAGTGACAGCAGGTGGCAGTGTTGGACTACTTCTGTCTTCCCCATAGAGCAGATTGAATTGCCACACTGATCATTTATCCCAGGTTATTTAGTAAAAACTACACTTCATTGCTTTTTTTTTAATTGTTTGTTTCCAAAGAGGACAACAAAACTTTTTTCTCTCTGAAAAGATAGAACCAAGTCTAAAGAATAAAATATACTTTTTTTTTTAAATAAACTTTTGGGACATTTAACTTGGAGGTATTTTTTAAGTTGCATTACATTGAAATAATACTAATGCCTGTCCTGGATCCTCTTAAATATACTCACATAGACTCAAGAGAGTTTTCATTCCTCCTCCCCACCCCCAGGCCACCCTGTACTTTTTCTTTTTCTATTCAATGCAGCCTTGACTTTGACCTGACCAATGGGCATACTGTGAGCTTAAGAAGAGTTTAAACCTTGAAAAGGGCTCACCATGGCACAAGCCAGAGTTGTAATCATAGCAAATGGGATGGAGTTGGAAAAGAACTGTCACCGCTCTAAGAGATCTCATGACATTTCTATGAGTTCACAGTAAGACAGTCAGGCTTTCCAGAGCCAATGATGCCTTTTCCCACCACGGACTCCACCCCCAGCTGCTTCCTGATCATCAGTGGCTACAGATTCAGCCGCGAGCCTTCTCAGACCCTTCCTGATCACAGACTTCGGCCACCGCACTGCACTTGCTCAGAGGAGCAGCAAGAGAGACCATACTGCACGCTGGCCGTGTCCCCGTTCCCTTCACCACACTCTTTAAGCACAAAGGATTTGTTTTCTTTTATTATTGTACCCTGAAGGGCTTTTCCTGATAAATAGCCCTTTGGCTGGCATGTATAATGGCATGCAGTGCCTTCTCAAAGAC